TGATGTACTGCTGGATCCGATTTGCTAAGATTTTGTTGAGAATTTTGGCATCTATGTTCATGAGGGATATTGGCCTGTAATTCTCTTTCATTGTGTTGTCTTTACCTGGTTTTGGTATTAGGGTGATGCTGGCTTCATAGAATGAGCTTGGAAGTGTTCCTTCCTCTTGAATTTTGTGTAGTAGTCTGAGGAGGATAGGTTTTAGTTCTTCCTTATCATTTTAACAATTTTTAAGTGTACAGTTTATTGGCATCAAGTACATTTATGATGTTGTGCAATCATCAGCACCATCCATTTCCAGAACTTTTTCTTCTCAAATTGAAACTCCATATTCATTAAACATTAACTCTCCATTCCTCCCTCATCTCAGTGCCTGGTAACGACTAGTCTACATTCTGTCTCTATCAATTTGATGACTCTAGGTACCACATACAAGTGAAATCATACAATATTTGTCCTTTATAGCTGACTTATGTCACTTAGAATAATGGTTTTCATGGTTTATCTATGTTGTGACATGTGTCAGTACTTCATTACTTTTTAAGGCTGAAACATATTCTATTGCCTGTAAGGTCTTGTTTGTCCATTCCTCTGTGGATGGACACTTGGGTGCTTCCACCCTTTGGCTATTGTGAGTGATGCTGCTGTGAACAAGGGTGTGCACGCATCTTCTTGAGCCCCTGCTTTCAGTCCTTCTGGGTATGTACTGAAGTGGAATATCTGGATCAATCGGTAACTCTGTTAACGTTTGAAGGAACTGCCATGCTTTTTCCACAACTGTTGCACCGTTTTACATTCCCACCATCAATGCTGGTCCCAATTTCAAGGGTTCCAATTACTTCACCTCCTGGCCAATACTCCCAATGAGTGTGAAAGAGGGTGGAGTTTTAACGAAGGAAGTGGGATAAGCTAGCCTTTCAGGCAACAGAGGCCTAGAGGGGTGATGGTATCAGACGGATCCAGTCACACACAGTCTGATGTCATACTTCTCATGGGAGTCTGTTTGTCCCCCTCTCCTGGAAATAGACTGATTCTGCAGATGCTGGAAAGCTCTCCTCCTGGGTCCCTCCTAAAGCTGCCAGGTTCATGGTGGCTCAGGTGTGCTGGGACACCAGTGGCTCGCTGCGAGGCAAGGTGGCCAGGGACAGGGGCACTGACATGCAGGAGGTTAGCCAGTCACCTAATCACAATGCCCAGGGTCTGTGACCCAAACAGCCTGCACCATGTAGGTCAGGGTTCATCTCAAAGACAGGCGTGTCCCTGGGCGGAGCTTTACCATGCAGCGGACTCCTGCAGTCAGCAGGGCAGGAGCAGCATCTCCCCCTCGGCAGCAAGACGGGCAGGGGCTGGTCCCAGCCCCAAGAGGGGGGCTGTCTATACACAAAAGGAAGGGGCAAGGAGCCAGGTGATGTCTGGCACCGCTGAGCGGGGTGCAGTGCAGGGCAGGACACCTTGAAAATGAAGTGGAGGACCAATCGAGAACCTCAGGGTCCATGAACACAAGCGAGGGTGGGTTCAGGGAGCTCCCCAGTGCCAGGTATAAGGTCTCCCCACAGAACTTCAGGGCTGGGGACAAGGGCCAAGGTTGGACCCACACATGCTCTTGTTTAGCTGGAATACCAAGCCTCACAACTGTCCTCCACTGGACATCCCCCCCGACCCCCCTGTCTCTACTAGAAAACACGGTGTGTGCTTCTGAATCGGCTGCCTGCATCTCGGCAGCTCAGAGCCTCCATTCAATGGGGCCTGTGCTGGAGGCAGCGCTTCCAGCTCTGAGGGCCCAGTCGGGGTACATCTGCAAAACTCCCCCTCAGTGACAATGTGCTCCAAGCTCGACATAGCCACGGTGGAGCCTGTGCCCATAGAAACTGGCCAATGCTGTAGCCAGGCTTACTTGTCCCCAGAGCAGCTGTTAAACATGACCAGGCTGCACTTGCCCTTCTTGAGAGGCAAACCTGATGTTCTCACAGCTCGAATTCCTTCTCGGTCCTGCTTCAGCCCCTTTGTCCCAGGGCCCCTGTCCACCAGCCCCTTTATCCCTGCTGCCAGCCAACCCTGATGACTGAATAATGTACAGGGTGGGGCGAGGCCTGTGTCTGCTCGGCACAACTTGTGGAGAGTGGCTGCTTTCCCTGCCTGCGGAAGAAGCAGGGCTAACCCACGTGTCTGTGCCTAGGTTGTCTGCGATGGCGCGTGTGGTGTGCCCCCTGAAGGTGAGTGCCTGGGTTTCTGTTTCTGTCCCCTGTGACCATCTTCAATGTCAGCAGCAAACAGGCCAGGGAAGGGCCGGGTTCTTAGGCTCTGAGGCTCCCTCAGGTCATGACTCTGGAATGTTTGTTGTTGTAAACTGACAGAGGAAAGCTAAGGGTTTACAATTTTCTGGAGGTTCATTTATTTACTGGGTATGCATTTAGTAGGCACCCTCAGTGTGTGGGGCACTGTGCTGGGATTTGGGGCCGCAGGGAATGCCTACGGTGAGGTCCTAACCCAGTGCACTCATCAAGTCAGTGCAGTGCACACAACAAGTGCAGGTGAGCAGAAGAGAGAGGCCGACTCTTGGAGAGATGCTGTGGGGAGAGAGCTAATTTGGGTCTTGGAGGAATGTATGAGTTTGTCAGTCGGTGAGGCGAGCAACTAGTGTTTCCAGCAGGAGACAAGCGTATGTGCCAGGCACCTGTGAAGAGAGGAAAGACATGAGGCTGGAGGAAGAGGGCATGAAGGGGAGCGGGGTGCGTGGGAAAGGCCAGCAGAAGCCAGGTCACGCTCACGCTGAGCTCCCAATGCCGGGCATTAACGCCTTGTTTGTACTCGCTCTTGCCCTCAGTCCCCTGTGGATTTAGACATCTACCAAAGCTCCTACATGGTCGACTATCAGCACCACGGGAAGCGCAAGTACTCCAGCATCTCACCGCAAGAGGTAAGACACGCTCTGCACTGTCTTCCATTCAACTGCCCACTAACATCTTTATTTCATTTCTATACGCATGTGGACCTCGGAGGCACTTGCTTAGGACAATCCCTGATGCCAGGAGGTCTAAGAGGTCTTTTTTGCATAGGTGTGTGTGGAAATGTATACAGGTCATGCATACAGAAGAGTGTAAATAGCATACACCAATGGGTGAGACAGCACTGACAGAGCAAATACGCTGCGCCCTCCTGCTCAGCCTCGCCACCTTCAGAATAGCCACCGTGCTGAGTGTGGGGCTAGTCATTTCCTTGTGTGAATGTGTTTTTAAGAAGATATCGTTTCACCTGTGTTCACATAGTTTCACGTATGTGTACTTCTAGACAGGTTGTTTAGGTTGACCTATAGGAACTTTGTTATATGCTGGGTCATATTGCATCTTCTGTGACCTTCGCTTTTTGCTGCACATGTGGATGGTCTTCATGTCCTGCATGGCACAGTATGCCACACAGGCTGCCCTTCTCCTGGTGGCAGACATTTGGGGTTTTTACTTTTTGTTAACCTCCTGCCCCAGACACTGCGATGAAGATGCAGCACGCCTCACATGCGAGAGGCCACCCATTCCTGGAGTGGCACTGGTTGCCCCTGGGGACATCACTGGTTCCCACAGTGGTGGCATCATTGACTTTCTCCCCAGCAGAGGCAGCCACACCTGTGACTCTCTAATCTTGCCATTACTTAGTAATACCAGACATTTAAAAATTTTACCAATTTGGTGGCTTTCAAATTTTTCCCCAATATCTTTTCACTTGTTATGAATATTTACTACTCTGTGAAATGTCTGTTCATGTCTTTTGACCATTTTTTTATTGAATTGCTTGTCTTTTTTTATTAATTTGTAGGAGTCCTTTAAATTCTGGACAGCTTTCATTTATCAGTTATATGTAAGACATCCTATTCTGCCTAGAGGTACTGCACTAAAAATAATGTCTACACAAAGGTGGAACAACTTCTGAGCTATGTTATTTAGTAGAATCAAAGTGCAGAATTCAATTATAATGTGCATTGTTTATACACCAACCAAGGAGTGGATATACACACACATGTCTACATGTACAGATGATATTTCTAGAAAGTTACAAAAAAACACTAGTGACTGTGGTTGCCTTTGGAGATGGTAGGATGGGAGAGACTTTTCACAATTAACCCTTCTGTATTATTTCAGCATTTCCCTCTGTTGTTTATATCGCCATTCAGGAACTAATTTAAATTGTTTACTAAAGTGTGCTCTGTCGTAGATACTTCCAAGGAAGCCACCCGTCCTCCATCTCGCTCTGCCCTCCATTCATGTGTGATTTGTTCCCACAGCAAATGAAGGTGGACACCCAGCTCAGGGAAAAAGAATTTTATAAGGTCACCCCCAGCCTCAACCCCAAGCTAAAGGATGGATACCCTGCCTTCAAAAGACCTTACATGACTGCCAGAGACCTGGGACAGCCCGGCTTCTTCCCACCACCGGACCGCATGAGCACCGAGGAGCACAAATGCAGGGGAACCAGCATCGGCCCCCCCGTGTACGCAGCTCCCCATGCTTGGTCCCTGGCCCAGGGCGATCCGAACTGGGCCCACCAGAGAGCTGACTTCCCGTGCCTCCTGGAGTCAGAGCGCCAGCCTGCTGCAGAGGAAGGCACAGGCTACCTGCTGCTGCCCGGCTGCCTCTGTCCTCACCGCCTTACAATCAAGGTCCCCATCTTGAACCGATGGGGCCCCCTGCTACCGTTCTACCAGTAGGAAGGTCACCATGGAAGTCCCTCCCTCTCACAAGGAAACCCCTGCTCTGGCCTCAGATTCCAGAGAGGAGAACTGAAAATAAAACCTCAGAAAGATGTTCCGGCACCATTGGTACTGTGCCATTCACCTTGCTCCCTGGCCTGCCTGGGACATAGCATCCCACCAAGGAGAGAGGGAGGAGGAAAAGAAAGAAAACTGTGTATGGAGGGCTGCAATCTGTGTGGTGTTTCATTATCATTAAGAAAACTGATGTAAGGATTTGTACTGTTTTAGGCATTTACTTACAGAATAGGAACAGCTGTGCTTCCCATAGTTACCTGAATGTTAGGTCTGACCATAAAACTTGACATGCTGCGGGATAGCTTTCCCTCACTATTCTATTTTCAGTTTACTCACCACTTCCACCCTGTAGCAGTCAGGACTGACTGTTTAGAAGCCGTCACTTTATACTCTTCTTCTTACTCAGTAGAGCTATTGTAAACACTTATATGTATGAGCCTAGGAAATAGGCTAAACTGCTGTAACTATGAGAACCACACACCTGGGCAGTCAAGGAGGGTTGGCTTCCATCCCTGGGTCTAAGGTGGCTGCTATGACTACATTGTGTCCACCCAAAATTCATATGTTGAAACCCTAACCCCCAATGCATTTGGAGATAGGACCTTTAGGAGATAAGTAAGGTTAAATGAGGTCATAAGGGTGGACCCTAATCCAATAGGGTTGGTGGCCTTCTGAACAGAGGAAATTTCCTTTAAAATGCTCTAGCATTTTGTAATAGGGGACTAGGGAAACAATGCCAGCGACAAAATAAAAGTTGTAACTGAGTGATGGGTACATGGAAGTTCATTATCTTACTTTCCTACTTTTGGAGGGTTTGAAATTTTCCATAATAAAATATTTAAAAAGGAACAAAGTAAAGGAGGAGGAGAAAACAGAAGAAAGGAGAGGAGGGGAAAAGAAAGATATGCCCCTTTAGATTACCATTAGCCATTTCTAAGTGTGTCTAATTTATAATATTCTTCTCATCCTTGCTATGCATTTTTAGAAAAAAAGGAAGAAGAAAGGAGGGAAGGAAGGAGGGAGGGGAGGAAGGAAGTAGGAAAGATAGAGGGGGACAGGAAAGAGAGAGAAAGAAAAATCTGATAGCTTGATAGTATAGTCTTTTTCATCTCTGGTGAGATGGAATAATTTTGCAGATGGTC